GGTATGTCAGATGGAAGCAGACCATAGGTTAGTTACAAGGGAATAGGACATGGGCTTAAGCAAGTAGAAGAAACCATATGATATGCAAAAATTAGTTGTACAAGGTAATAATATACTTCCATGTAGTTAGCATCAGATAATCATGAAAACAGTGGTCCTCAAAGCGCCATCCCTGGGCCAGCAGCAGCAGCAGCAGGGGACTGGTTGGAGATCCAAATTCTCTCCCCCCGACTTACTGGATGGGAAGCTCTGGAGGTAGAGGGTTTAACTAGCCCTCCAAGTGATGCTGATGCCGTCCTAAAGTGTGAGAACCACTGTACTGCGGGATCTCATGCCCTTGTGCAGTGATTCTCCAACATTAGTGGGCATCAGTCACCTGCGGGTAGATCACGGCTGCCAATGCCCTTCACAGGATGTGTTCTTCATCAGTCCTTGTAGCCTTGTGGAGGTCAGCGAAGGAGGGAGGGCAGGTGTATTCACTTAAACTGAAGAAGCAAAACTACTCAACTTCCATCACTCTCTCTTACTTTTTGTTTTTTCTAAGATTTTGTTTATAGGGGTGCCTGGGTGGCTCAGTTGGTTAAGTGTCTGACTTCAGCTCATGTCATGATCTCACGGTTTGTGGGTTCAAGCCCCGCGTCGGGCTCTGTGCTGACAGCTAGCTCAGAGCCTAGAGCCTGTTTCAGATTCTGTGTCTCCTTCTCTCTCTGACCCTCCCCTGCTAATGTTGTCTCTCTTTCTCTCAGAAATAAATAAAAACATTAATAAAATAAAATATTGTTTATAAAAAATTTTATATATTTTGCTTTTATCAAATAAAAAAATTTTTAGTGTTTATTAGTATTATTATTGTATGAGAGAGAGACAGAGACAGAGCATCAGCAGGGGACAGCAGAGAGGCAGACACCAAATCCAAAGCAGGCTCTGAGCTGCCAGCACAGAGCCCGATGGAGGGTTGGAATTCACGAACTGTAAGATCATGACCTGAGCCCATCAGACGCTTAACTGACTGAGCCATCCAGGCACCCCGAGTTTCATGTTCTATTGACTGAACCAGTCATGGTTTTTTAAATATATATTTTTAAAAATATAATTATGTTTTACCATTTTCTATAAAGCATTTGAGTCTATTGCTTTTTCTCCCACTTGGTTCATGTGCACTCTTTCATGTATCAGTTAATCCCATGTGCTTGTTACTTTTATGCTCTACAATCTTTCTTTGTATTTCCTTTTCCCTGGCTTATAAATATTGAACAATTAAATCTGATATTTATGACAAGTAATGGCAATAGCATTTGAATCTCCTACAGAAGACAGCAGTGAGTGCTACCAGGTGCTGAATTCAGTTCAAATAACTAAGAAACAAAGAATCAGTCCCAGTTCTGTAGAGACAATAGTCACATGAAGTAATTTAAGGAAATTAACAAGGACCACAGTAAGAAGCACCTCAGAGCTTAAGTGATTCAGGAATATGCAGTAAAGAAGTGATCAGAATGGGAAGACTCCTTGGAGAAGATTAAGTTTTGGATCAGCAATGAAAGGAAGTGAGGGATATGGATTGGCAGAGTGTGGCAAAGCCATTCTAGGTTTACAGAATGGCCTTTCCAAGGGCCCACAGAGAGGAACTAGCAAGTCATGTGCTGGGTGCTATCTGCCAATGAACTTGGCTCAAGAAGAAGGTCATGTTAGGAAATAACAAAAGATGAGGTTGGGGAGTTGACAGTGAGCCCAGAATGCTAAGCTAAGAGATATGGTAACCAGTAAACAGGAAATCTTGATAGATTCACAAATGAGGCAGTGATGTGATAAAACTATTTTTTTTAAAAAAAGGTTGACATCCAAAACGAGTATTGATATAGAAGTAAAATCCATGAGTTTATATAGTTGGTAGTATAAGCCATTTAAAGCAAGAATTATTGTGAATAAGATGTATAATAATCTTGCACTATTATGCCTTTCTCCTGTTGTTTATATACTTAATGTGCTTTCACAACTCTCTGTCCTATTTTCTCCAGCATCACCGTGTAAAATAGTTCCATTGTAAATTTGTGCTAGAAAGAATAGCCTTTGACTGATACTCTGAATTCTATCATGCAAAAGTAGTTCAAGTTTTCCTGAATGAATGTTAACAGTGTGTTTCTGAAGTACATTTCTGAACCCTTTCCACCTACATAGAGTTATAAAGGCTGCATTGCTTCACCTTAGGCAAATCAGTGAAGCCCTTGCTTGCTATATTTTTGGTGTGCCCTGTTAGCTTCATTTAGTGCAATTGCATCTCTACCTCATCTTTTGCATCTCTACTTTCAATGCCTTTAACTGAGGTAGTAACAGGGCTAAAAATAGCTCTTAAAAATCTTAATATTTTAGATATGCCAAATACATTAAATAAAAGTGAAAATGTGATGCTACACTGCCCAGTTTTAATTCTGAGTTCTATTTGTTTTTTTTTTTTTTTTAATTTTAAAATCCTACATATATGAGAAGCATCTATAATTGATCTGTAATTATTCACTCTGGGGTCCACATAGCTCTAGGATACCACACTGAATTTATTATTTTTTATTTTTTTAAGATTTTATTTTTTAAAAATTAACATTATTTATTTATTTATTTTTGAAAGGAAGAGAGAGACAGAGAACATGTGCATGAAAGCGAGTGAGTGGTTGAGGAGCAGGGAGAGAGGGAGACAGAGACTCCCAAGCAGGTTCCACGCTGTTGGCACAGAGCCCAACTTGGGGCTCAGTCTCATAAACCACGAAATCGTGACCTGAGCCAAAATCAAGAGTGGGATGGTTAACAGACTGAGCCACCCAGGTGCCCCCTAAGATTTAATTTTAAGTAATTTCTACACCCAACATGAGAGATTCTTTTTCCCTAGGATAAATTTGACTATTAGTGGTGTTTCTCCTTGTTGTTGGCTTTAGCACCTAATTCTAGCATCTGGGATAACTGCATTTGTCCTGTGACCTTGGGTAAGTAATTGAACAACAGGGCTTCTGCTTCTCATCTGTAACATAAGGAATAATTTACAAGACGATGCTTATGTGTCTTTTGCACTTAAAAGCTTTCATCTATGATTGTTCCAAGTGCAGCCTTCTTTTCTCAGACCTATCTATCCCTGCCTCGGAAAAAATCTGAACATTTAGAACCATCGATAAAATATTTAACCTATTGAGCCCCATTCTCAGGTTCAGGGATTTTTCGTCCCTACCGAGATCACAACAGCAAGTGTGTAATTAATGAAAATTAGTTAATACTGCAAACCTGTATTACAGAAATTAAAGAAGTTTTCTAAATTAATTATCTATGTGGACTTAAGACTGTGAGTTTTTGTGTTTCCTTTATTTATTTTGAGGGGAGTCAGGAGGAGAGAGAGAGAGAGAGAGAGAGAGAGAATCCCAAGCAGGCTCTGCACTGGAAGCACAGTGGCTCAATCCAATGAACCATGAGATAACAACAATAGTCAAAATCAAGAGTCCGATGCACAAATGACTTAGTCACCCAGGCATCCCTCCTTTATTCTTTTTTTTTAGTTTATTTTTATTTATTTTGAGGGAGATATAGAGAGTGAATGGGGGAGGGACAGAGGGAAAAGGAGCCAGAACCCCAAGCGGGCTCCATGCTGTCAGCACGGAGACGGCCAGGGCCTCGAACTCACAAACCATGAAATCATGTCCTAAGTTAAAATCAAGAGTCAGATGCTTAATCAACTGAACCACCCAAGTGCCCTTCCTCTTTTAGTGATTCTTAATGGAAACTGTGTTATATAAGGATAAAATAAGAACATAAAATAAACTTATACAATATACTTATATACAATATATTTATAAAAATACACTTATAAATATACTTATATATAAGTATATACAATATGCTTATTAAAAACTTATACAAAGAACTAGATAAGAAACTAAAGACATAAGAATAAGAAAAGAATAATGAATAGAAAAAAATAAGTAAAAGAAATGTGCAAAATGTGTCAGAAAAGAAAGATCACTTGTATTTGCTTATAGATCAATCAATAATCATTTTCTGTTGTTCTTTCACTCTGCACCTTAAGATGACACTACTTTGAGACGTGAAAATTCTTTAAAAATTTAAAAATAAATTTCACAAGTACTATGGCATAGAATGCTCACTTTCTCATATCCCTTCTTAAAAGATTATTGTATTATTTATATAAATACCAGTTATTAGTATCTAACCACAAGTTACTTGTAATTACATATAAAATTAATATCTTTAATACAGATAAAATGTCTTTAAAAAGAAAAATAGGGAGTCAATTATTATTCTTATAGCAATGAATATATATAGAGCCCTTGCTACATGCCAGATATTGTACTAAACACATCAGACCTATTAACTGACTTAATTTTCCCCACATGCTCTACAATAGAATATTATCCTAATCTCTACTTGATAGTTGGGAAAACTGAGGCACAAAAAGGTAAAATAGCTTTCCCAAAGCAGTTAGCTAGTAAGTGGTAGGATAGGGTTTTGAGTCCAGAGTCATAAACAACATGAAATACTCCCTAAAGATTCTATAAATTTTGCTGTCCCTGAGGAGGAAAGTTCAGTAGGACCCAGGTCTACAGTTGATATACTTCTACGTGATTTCATAGATGTTGGTCTCACAAATTAAACCAATGGAGAAAGGTGTCTGAATTAGTTAAAATCTGATTTGAAGAATCAGAAAAGAATTTTATTCTCTATTTTGATGTATATTCCCTGGCAGTACTTCAAGATGAACTAACAGAGTGCACAGAGTCACTAAATAGGAATAATTTGAAGTTAATAGTATGTATAAATGCACATTTCTTCTGTTTTTAGTATTTAAGTAATAAAAAAATAGCTTATTGATGATAATTAAAATAAGCTTACTTTATTCACAATTTTAATCTTTCTTTAAGGGTGTTCAATACAATGATTTATGTATACTTTATGAAATGATAACCACAATCAAGTTAGTTGATCCATCCATCACCTCACATACTTACCAATTTTTTATTTTTCTTCCTTTTTTTATGATGAGAATACTGAAAATTTACTTTTCATAGTTCATTGAAAAAATTTTTTTAGTGTTTATGTATTTTTAAGAGACATAGAGAGACAGAGTGTGAGCAGGGGAGGGGCAGAGAGAGAGGGAGACACAAGGATCTGAAGCAGCCTCCAGGCTCTGAGCTGTCAGCACAGAGACCAGTGTGAGGCTCAAACTCTTGCTTTGTGACATCATGACCTGAGCGGAAGTCAGATGCTTAACCTGCAGAGCCACCCAGGTGCCTCCATAGTACATTTCAAGTATACAATAGAGATTATTAACTGTAGTCACCATGTGTGCATTAGATCCTCAGAACTTATCTTATAACTGAAAGTTTATACTCTTTGAGTGACATCACCCCATTTCCACTGCACGCAGCCCCTGGCAACGATTCTACTTGTGGTTCTATGAATTTGACTTTTTTAGATTCTTCATGTAAGTGAGATCAGACAGTGTTTCTGTGTCTTACTTATTTCACTTAGCATAATGTCTTCCAGGATTATCCATGTTATCACAAACGGCAGGATTTCATATTTTATGGCTGAGTAATATTCCATTGCATCCATATACCACATTTTCTATATGCCTTCAGTTGTCAACAGACACTTAGGTTGTTTCCATTTCTTGGTTATTGTTAATAGTGCTGCAGTAAACTTGGGGGATGCAAATATCTCTTCAAGATACTGATTTTAGGGGCGCCTGGGTGGCTCAGTCGGTTAAGCGTCTGACTTCGGCTCAGGTCATGATCTCATGCTTCATGGGTTTGAGCCCCGCGTCGGGCTCTGTGCTGACTGCCAGCTCAGAGCCTGGAGCCTGCTTCAGAGTCTGTGTCTCCCTCTCTCTCTGACCCTCCCCTGCTCACGTTGTCTCCCTCTCTCTCCTTCTCAGAAATAAAAATATTAAAACAAAAAGATACTGATTTCATTTTCTTTGTGTATATACCTAGAAATGGGGTACTAGATTAGAGGGTAGCACTCTTTTTAAATCTTTTAGGAATCTCCATACTGTTTTGCATAATGGCTGTCACTGCATCACATTCCTGCAAACAGTGTCCAAGTATTGCCATTTTTTCACACCCTTACCAACACTTGGTATCTATTTTCCTATACATAATGGCCATGCTAACATGTGTGAGGTGATATCTTTTATGGTTGATTTTAATTTCCCTGATAATTACTAATCCTGAGTACCTTTTTAGGCACCTATATACAGTACCATCTGAATGTATGTCTTTGAAAAAAATGTCTATTCAGGTCCTCTGCCCATTTTTTAATCAGATCTTTTTTGGCTATCAAGTTATATAATTTCCTTATATTTTATATAAGATATGTGATTTGTGAATATTTTCTCTCATTCCATATGTTGCTTTATTTATTTTTCTGAGAGAAAACGAGTGAGTGGGGGAGGTACAGAGAAAGAGAGGGAGACAGAGAATTCCAAGGAGCTCCACACTGTCATTACAGAGCCCTATTCGGGGCTCCAACATATGAACTGTGAGATCAGATGCCACCGAGGCACCACCCCCATACGTTGCTGTTTCATTTTGTTTGTTGTTTCCTCTGTTGTGCAGAAGTTTACCAACTTGACATTGTTCTACTTGTTTATTTTTGCCTTTGTTGCCTAAGCTTTTGGTGTCCAATCCAAAAAATCATTGCCAAGACTAGTATCAAGGAGCTTTTCCCTATGTTTTCTTCTAGGAGTTTTACAGTTCCAAGTTGTACATTTAAGCCTTTAATCCATTTTGAGTTTATTTTTGTGTATGGTGTAAGGTCTAATTTCATTCTTTTGCACTTATCTGTCCAGTTTTCCCACACCATTTATTGAAACACCTTACCCGTTGTGTATTCGTGGTGCCATATCAAAGATGAGTTGGCTCATTTCTAGGCTGTTTCTACGCTCTCAATTTTGTTCCATTGGTCTATGTGTCTGTTTTTATGCCAGACTTTTATACTTCTAAAAAATAACATGGCTTTGTAATATAGTTTGAAATCAGGCCACATAATACCTCTCTAGCTTTGTTCTTTCCTAGGATTGCTTTGGCTATTCAAGGTTCATAGTGGTTCCATACAAATTTTAGATTTCTTTTTCTTATTTCTGTGAAAAATGCCATTGAAATTTTGATAGAGATTGAAATGAATCTGTAGATGGCTTTGGATAATACGGACATTTTAAAACTATCAATTCTTTCAATTCATAAACATAGGGCATATTTCTATTTTTGTGCCTTCTTCAATTTCTTTCATCAAAGTGTCCTAGTTTTTAGAATAGACGTCTTTCAGCTCCTTGGTTAAATTGCCTCCTAAATATTTCATTATTTTATTTTTTTCTTCTTTCTTTTCTTTGTTTCTTTGTTTCTCTCTTTTTTAAGTAAACTCTACTCCCATCATGGGGCTCGAACACATAACCCTGAGATCAAGAGCTCCATACTCTACTGACTGATCCAGCCAGGCACTCCGTATTTTATTCTTTTTGATACTATTGCAAATGGACTTGTAAATAGTTCATTGTTAGTGAATAGAAATGCAACTAATTTTTGTGTGTTTATCTTTTATCCTTCAACGTTACTGAATTCACTTATTAGTGTTAACAGTTTTTGGTGGAGTCTGTAGTGCTTTTCATGTGTAAGAGCATGTCATCTGCAAACAGAGAATTCTACTTCTTCCTTTTCTATTTGCTTGTCCTTTCCTTCTTTTTTGTTGCCTGGTTGCTCTGGCTAGGGCTCCCAGTATTACAGTAAATAGAAGTGGTAAGAGCGGGCCCCTTGTTGTATTATTCCTGATCTTAGAGGAGAGACTTTCAGCTTTTCACGGAATATGATGTTAGCTACGGGCTGGTCATATGAAGTGTTTATTATGTTGATATAATTTGCTTCTATAGCTAATTTGTTGAGAGCGTGTTGAGTTATGTCACATACTTTTTCTGCGTCTATCAAGACGGCCAACACATCTATTTTGATGCTTTCTATGCACCAGGTACTTATCTGGGCACAGAAGACCTGGCTTAAAATCCCAGCTCTGCCATTTATTAGCTTGTGATCTTGGACAAGTTTCTTAATCCCTCTGATCTCCAGTTTCTTCGTATGTATAATGTATCTATCTCATAGGATTGTTCTAAGTATGAATTAATAAATATATAGTGCTTGCTACAGGGCCTGGCACAGTAAACACCTGTATTATTATTCATTAATTCAACAGAGTTGAATAAAGCAAATAGTGAAAATCCACACCATATCCCACTCTGCAGATACAGCCACTGTTAATATTTTGGTTTATATTTGTCCGTATTTTTGGTATGCATATACACATTTTATATCTGTATGTATGTAAACATGTTTCATATAAGTAAAATTGTTTTACTCTTTAACTTGCTTTTTTACTTAACTACATTTATTTTATAATCAGAAAGAAATCAATATCCACTATATATTATAGTGGATTAAATACACTAGAGAGTTACATGGCTGGCTCAGTGGGTAGAGCATGAGGCTCTTAATCTTGGGGTTGTGAGTTTAAGACCCATGTTGGCTGTAGAGATTACTTAAAAATAAAAATCTTTGAGGGGTGCTCGGGTGGCTCAGTGGGTTAAGCGTCCAACTTAGGCTCAGGTCATGACCTTGCATTTCATGAGTTAGAGTCCTGTGCAGGGCTCTGTGCTGACAGCTCAGAGCCTGGAGCCTGTTTCAGATTCTGTGTCTCCCTCTCTCTCTCTGCCCCTCCCCTGCTCATGCTCTGTCTCTGTCTCTCTCAAAAATAAACATTAATACAGTTTTAATTAAAATCACTTAAAAATATTTTTAATTAAATATATATATTTTAATTAAAATCATTAAAAATATATACTATAGTGGCATCTGAGCAGCTCAGTAGGTTGTGTTGCTGGGTCCAGTGGGAAACCAACTGGATGGGATTTGATTCCCAGACTCCCAAGAGACCCTTGACCTCCCCCAGGTCCAGCCCACACATTTGCCTTTGGTTCGGGTCTAGTCAGTAATGGTCTTGGTAGCAACATGGGTTCTTCACATGCATGGCACAAACCATATCAGCTTTACAGGAGCGGCAAAAAAAAAAAAAAAAAAAAAAAATGCTTTTAGAAACATTTAGCAGGCCCTTAGGATTTCATGGACCACTTTTCACTTCCTTTGTACTCCACCCCTTGCCTGTCATAAATACTTCTAGGAATTTATTCTAAACACAAACATATAATAATAAAAAATTAGAGGGGAACCTTGGTGGCTCAGTTGATTAAGCATCCAACTTCATTCAGCTCAGGTCATGATCACATGGTTTGTGAGTCTGAGCCCCAAGTTGGGCTCTGTGCTTACAGCTCAGAGCCTGGAGCCTGCTTTTGGATTCTATGTCTCCCTCTCTCTGCCCCTTCCCCACTCACACTTTGTCTCTGTCAAATGAATAAACCTTAAAAAAAATTAGAAAACCAAATGTCAAGCGATAATGGGTTAATAAGTTATAGTAGGGAGTGCCTGGCTGGCTCATCAGGTACAGCATGTTACGTTTGATCTTGGGGACCCACACTGGGTATGCATAGAGATTACTTAAAAATAAAATTAGGGGCACCTGGGTGGCTTAGTCGGTTAAGCGTCCGACTTTCGCTTACATCATGATCTCGCGGTTCGTGGGTTCGAGCCCCACGTCGGGCTCTGTGCTGGCTGCCAGCTCAGAGCCTGGAGCCTGTTTCAGTCTGTCACTCCCTCTCTCTCTGATCTCCTAGAAATAAATAAAACATTAAAAAAATAAAAATAAAAAAAATAAAATTAAAAAAAATCTTGGAGTGTCCAGGTGGCTCAGTCAGTTAAGCATCCAACTCTTGATTTCTGCTCAGGTCATGAAATCGAACCCTGAGTTGAGTTTTGCACTGAGAGTGGAGCCTGCTTGAGTCTTTTCCTCTGCCACTCTCCCCCTGTTCCCCATGCTCTCTAAAATTATAAAAACCTGTTAAATAAAATAAAATTTCGAAAACAAAATCTT